AAAATATTTATTTACATCTCAAACACTGTCCCCCTCCCAGTCCCCCCTCACAGAGTTGCTCCCTGATCCCCCTTCCCTTCCCTTCTGAGAGGGTGGGGCCCCACAGAGTATCCCCCGACCTTAGCATATCAAGTCTCTGCCAGATTAAGCACATCTTCTCTCAATGATGCCAGACAAGGCAGCCCTGTTGGGGAACAGACACCACAGTCAGGCTACAGCTTTACAGAGAGCTTCCCTTCCAGTTGTTGGGGGACCCGCATAGAAACTGAGCTGCAAATCTGCTACAATGTTCTAGAGCCTCCAGCCCATACATGTTCTTTCGTTGGTGGCTCAGTCTCTGAGAGCTCCTAAGGTCCAGGTTAGTTGACTCTGTTGGTCTTTCTATGGGGTCTCCATCCCCTCCAGGGCCTTCAATCCTTCCCTCATTTCTTCTAGAGGTCCCAGACCTCTGTACAATATTTAGCTGTGGGTCTCTGCATCTGTTTCAGTCAGCTGCTGGATAGAGCCTCTCAGAGGACAGTTGTATTAGGCTCCTGTCTGAAAGTGTATCATTAATAATGTCAGGGATTGGTTTGCCCATGGGATGAGTTTCAAGTTGGCCAGTTATTGGTTGTCCATTCCTTCAGTCTCTGCTCCATCTTTGTCCCTGCATTTCCTTTAGACAGGATAAATTTTGGGTTGAAAGTTTTGTGGGTGGGTTGATGTCCTTATCCCTCCACTGAGGGTCCTGCCTGTCTACAGGAGATGCCCTCTTGAGGTTCCATGTCCCCACTGTTAGGTATCTTGGTTATGGTCACCAGCATTAACTGCTGGGAGCCTCTCCCATCTCAGGTCTCTGGGACTTCCTAGAGGTAACATCGTTTTGATTTTCATTTCCCTGATAGCTCAAGATGTTGATCATTTCATTTAGGCCATTTAATTTTCATCTTTTAAGACATTTCTGTTTAGATACATGCCCCATTTTTATTAGGTTATTTTCTTGATGTTTATTTTTATTTTTGTTTCTCTGTATATAATAATCCTGTCAGGTGTGTAGCTCATAGAGACTTTTCTACTTCTGTAAGCTGTCTCATCACTAAAATGACTGTTTAATTTCCTATATAGAAGCTTTTTAGTTTCATATGGTCCATTTGTCAGTTGTTGGTCTTAATGCCCATATTACTGAGGTCCTATTTAGCAAGTCCTTTACTTTGGTTACATAAGTACCAAAGAAACTAGACAAATTAATTAAGAGCAAGATTAGTACAAAGAACAAAATAGCAATAAATAAATAGGCACTAGAAAAACATTAGAAAAGGCAAAAAACATTGATGAAGTTTTAAAACAAATGTTATCAAAACTTGATAGGCTGAAAGAGAAAATTTAAGAAAAATAAAATAATGTAAGTGAAAAAGGCATAACTATCATGAATACCACAGAAATAAAAAGATCATAGGCAACTTTTATCAATAATTCCATGTCCAAAAATTGAATAATCTAAAAAAGTAGATAATTTCCTAAAATGTAGAAACTAGTGAGACTAAATCACTAAGAAACAGAAAACTTTAAGAGCCTAATCATGACAAAAATATGAAACCAGGAATAAAGAATTCAAACAATAAAATGGGCAAACCCATTTGCCTTCTTGATGTAATCTACTAAAGGAAAATATTTAAAAACTTGATAAAATGTATAGTGACATATGAATGAAGAGAATGTAAACATGTACATATTATATTATTCTTACTAGATGATATTTTGAAAAAGACAAAACTATAAAAGGCATAAACATGTCAGTGGTTTCCAGGAACATGCTACAAGAAAGGAATGAATAGGTAGAACACAGGGAATATTTTAGAATAGTAAATCTAGCTTGCATGATCAAATAAAGGTGGTGATGTGTCATTATATCTTTGTCAAAACTACAGAATGTAAAACAGAAAAAGTAAAACATATAAATATTATTAAAATATAAAATTATTTAATATTATAAAAATATAATTATTAAATAATTATAACATTGGTTTTGTTATTTTTCTGCTGCTGTGATAAAATACCATGAGCAAAGCTGACTTGGTGAAAGAGTTTATGGTTTGTGAGGGGTAAAATTTCATCATGGTGGGAAGTAGGGCATTAAGTGTGGTGGCCTGAGAAGAAAGCTGAGAGTTCATATCCTTAACTACAAGTTCAAAGCCTAGAGATTGAATGGGAAGTAAGGTGAGACTTTAAACTCTCAATGCCTATTCTTAGTGATATGCTTCCTCCAGCAAAGCTGCCGTTCTCCATAATCTCTACACAGCACCACTCAGTTGATGAACTGAGGACCAAGTGTTTAAATGCCTGAAGCTCTGAAGGTAATTTCTAATTCAAGCCACCACATATTGGTTTATCAGTTATCACAAATATACCACACCACTGAAAAATAATAATACAGAAAATTGCATATCAGGGAGAAGGGAAGATGTGAGTGCTTACTATACCCTAAAGCAATATGTATGTATGCATATGTATGTATGTATGCATATATATACATATATATGTACACATACATATATTTTTCACTATGCAATATATATTCAATATATATTTATGACAAAACATGTAATTGTCACTATGCAATTAAAGTTTATCAATATCCTTTTGTAGCTCATTCATTTTATGTCAAATAATGTTCTGCAGTATAGATGTGCCACATTTGTTTATCCATTCCTGTTGAAGGACATCTTTCTTATTTCCAAGTCCTGTACATTCTAACAACACTCATATATATTTGTATGTATACAGACACATACATAATATATTTCACATGTGTGTGTATCTATGTATATGTGTGTGTGAAAACAAAGGTAAATCGAGGAGAATATTTGAGACAAAGATCATGAAATCAGAAACAGCACAATGTTTGCCCTGGATAATAAAGCTTTCACATAGACTAAGTCAGAAAAAACTAGGGTGATAATTTATAGTGCCTTTAATTTGCAATTTTAGAAAATGGAATGTGAATTTTACTCATTATGTATTGGGACTGGTAAAAAATAATTTATTACTTCAAATTTTTTACATGAGGATTTTTTCTTTTGATATCCCACACTCTTTAGACTATTTTCTCAAACAAGATTAAATGGTGTTACAATAGACATAAATACACTATAGTTTTCAATGTGAAGAACAAAGTTACTCAGAAATTAGTATTTTTCCCAACCCTAAAAATAAAGTTCCAGTTGCATCATTTGTGAGCACAAGACTTCACTGTATATTAGCTGTGAAACAATTTCTATTTATAAAAGTTACAACATTCACCATGTGTTTTTGCTACTGATTGTAACGACCTATTTTTAACTTTTCTACAGCTGAAGAATGTTAAAAGCTAATTTAATGCAGATTATTATTTTGTTGCATACAATACTTGATGCTTAATATAACATATAATAGATTTTCCTTTTAGCCTGGCTCTATTGTAAGAAATTCCTTAAACATTTCACAGTATTTTTGGGTTAGCTGCAATTTAAAAACACTGCTAATTAAAGTCCAGATTATTTTCTCATCTTTTCACGTTCTGTGTTTGCAGTCTATACTTCTTCTCAGCCCAGTCTCTATGTCATATACTGGTGGCTGATACTACCCAGGTCCTCTGTATATTTACTATAGCTTTCAGCTTGGCACTTCTATGGAACTCCTGATTGTATGAACAAACGACCCTCTGATTCTTGTGCCTGTTCTTGGGACTCTTTTCCTTCTGTTGAGTTGCCTCATCCAACTTCAGTATGATAGATTTTTACATTGTCTTATAGTTTATGTTGTCATGTTTTGTTGTTATCTCTTAGAAACCTGTATTTTCTAATGAGTCCAGAGTGGAGGGGAGGTGGGGAAGAACTGGGAGGAACAGAGGGAAGGGAAACTATAATTTGGATATATTGCATAAGAAAAGAAACTATTTTCAATGAAAGGAAAAGATAAAATATATATAGTGAAAACTTTAAGCATATATATATATATATATATATATATGGTATGTATATGGGATATATATATATATATATATATATATATATATATATATATATCAGACTCCTTATTGTTAGGAAAAGAAAGGGGTTTCAAAAAGTAATGGTCAAAATATTGATAATTTGAGTTTCATAAAATAAACTTTATGATAACATGTAAAATAATGACACAAAATTCTATAGTTAATATTCCTTTTTGTTTAATCCATAAAAGGAAAAAATGGAACAAGGAGTACATATGAAAAGTAGAAAGCAAGGAGCAAGATAATAACTCCAATGTATAGCTTACCAATGTTCATAATAAAGTCAACAATGTCTACAAAACACTAATACACTCAATTCAACAGTACATTAATAGTGATATACTGCTATTATTTTTTAGTGCTTTATTTCCTTTTATTTGGAAACACCTAAAATCTTCAGATGGATCAACTTTCTTATATAACTATTCACATTTAAGTATGATTAATGTAGTTTGGTACAATGAGGAAAACAAAAATCAAAAAAATTGAATTTAGAAAAATATGTATGCATTTGTTGACTACTGCCAAAGCTACCCATTCTTTAGGATTGTCACACTACCATGAAGCACATTTTTAAAGGTAAAAGCTAGGCAATTAGAAATTGCATAATTAAAAATAAGTGATCTTCTATGAAGTATACAAAAAAAACTATCACCTTCAATAGTGTAGCATACACTAAAGGTTATGCTTCTGAACTGCTTTCACCATTAACTTTCTGTTGGAACTATGCTATGGAATACAAAAAAGATCTTAAAATTATGTAATAAATAAAAAATACAAGCATGCCTTCTAGAGTTTCAAAATCGTTTTAGCCATAGAATCCATCCCTACAGATAATAATCCATACATAATGCATGTACCCCCAGTGCCTCTGCCATTAAGCATTAAGACTACCCAGTCTGGGGACAATCTGTCTCGGCTTTCAGCATTTCTTCCCTGCCTTTGCATGGGTTAGGATGTGAATCTTCAGATTATTTGACTGAATAAAGCTCTTCTAGCAGCCATCAAAAGGACACACAAAGCGCTTCTCACCCGTGTGGATGCGGACATGTGTGCGCAAGTTGAAATCCAGTGAGAAGCGCTTGCCACAGCCTTCGAAGGTGCACTGAAATGGCCTTTCTCCGGTATACACCAGAAAATGCCGCTTTAGTTTCGAGCTCTCAGTAAAAGCTTTCCCACACTCTGCACACACATGCTGACGGGGCCCGTGGACAAGCATGTGTTTCCTCAGGGCGGTTTTATCCCTCAGCTTCTTCTTGCACCTAGCTTGAGGACACTCCAGCATCGACAAGGCACCACAGTATGCAATGACCTTTGGCTTCTCTCCAGTAATGCCTGCAAGCTGCTTACGACTGGATAACTCAACTTCTGAGGTTTTTCCAACAGGAAGCTTTCTGCTTGTCACAAACTCAGAACATCCAACAGTCTGCTGAGGGGCCTCTTGCGTGGCTGCTCTTTTCTCTTGTCTTGTCCCCTTTGTCATGTGCTCCAAAGAAGCCTCGAGAAGGGAGCTCGCTTCCAGAACCTGGCAAGAAAGGTCTTGTTCCGCTTCCTCCAGGCTTTCAAATGATTTAAAAAGTAAGTCCTCTTCCAGAATGGGTTCAGAGGACTCACCTCTTATGATGCACTCTAGGTATCCATCAGGGAAGTCCTCTTCCTCAGTATCGAGGCTAATCTCACCTGCATCGTGGATGGTGTATGTTACATGGGGAGGGTCCACTCTGGTGTTCTGGACTGGCCTCGCCTCGTCTTGTTTTAGGGTCATTCTGTCGAGGGCTCTTCCGCCTGGCCCTTTCTGACCACTTGTCTTTACCACTTTCTTCATTTGTTCATTCATGCTGTTTTAGCTGCTTCCTTCTTGAACAAGAAATATGACTCACTTCCAGGCAGCACTGATCCACAAGAGTCACCCTGCGGCACGGCAAACACCTGCTATTTGGTCAGCAGTAGTTGGTGACAAAACTTGGAGGAAGCACAGTAAGACATCCCTGCTTTCTTCTGTGTGCAGGAGCTGCTGGCTGCACTGTACACTCTATTGAGAGAAAAAGCCTGTCTTCTTTGCCACTCCCACCTCTTAGTCCATTTTTCTAATGCTCCAGCAATGCGCTCTAATTATTTCCTACTTGGTTTCCTTTCTGAAATCCCAAGAAGAAACTGTCACTCGCACCCAGAGCAGCAGAGGAAATCTACACAGCCAGGAGTTCAGGTCCTTGGACCCCTCCCTTTTTAGATGGACCGATATACTGCTATTAAATGGGATTTAAATCTACATTTTAAATGGGTCTGTATATGAAGTTCATTAAACAATATTCACGTCATTAATAGAAAAGAGAGAAAATAACAAGTGTAACAAGTGGTTGTTTTAGTTGTTGCAGAAAAAAAATGAAAAAAAACCCCAATGCTTTTCCATGGTACTTTTACTCAATTAAACAAGAATACATGATTCCCTCAGTACAGAAAAGAAATATACGAAGAGCCTGCTAAGAGAATGACTGAAAGCTTTCTATTATCAAGACCAAGGAAGTATTCCAGCCTTTGTCACTGATGTTGAAAATAACATTGGAAGTTTTATCCAAAACAATTAGGCTCAAGTTGAAAAAAAGAAAGAAATGGAATTATTTATTTCCACTAGGCATAACTTTATATATAGAAACACAGATTTCACAAGAAGAGATTAGAATAAATTACATCAGTAAAGTTTCATAAGGCAAAATCTAAACACAAAGTGAATAACATATTCTGATGCAAACTTCATAGATCAAGAATTGATAAATGGGACCTCATGAAACTGAAAAGCTTCTTTAAGGCAAAGGACAATCAATAGGATAAATCAACAACCTACAGATTGAGAAATAAACTTTACTAACTCCACATCTGATAGAGGGCTAATATCCAAAATATATAAAGAACTCAAGAAGCTAATCTCCAAAAAACCTAACATCCCAATCAAAAAATGGGGTATAGAGAATTCATAACAGAGAATTCATAACAGAGGAATCTAGAAGAAATAGTCAAAGTCTTTAATCACCAGGGAAATGCAAATCAAAACAACCCTGAGATTCCACCTTATACCAATCAGAATGGCTAAGATCAAAAACTCAGGTGACAGCACATGTTGCAAGGATGTGGAAAAAAAGGAACACTCTTCCACTGCTGCTGGGGTTGTAAACTGGTACAACCACTCTGGAAATCAATCTGGAGAAAATCTGAAATAGATCTGAAGACCCACCCAAAAGATGCTCCAACATATAACAAGGACATGTGCTCCACTATGTTCATAGCAGCCTTATTTATAATAGTTACAACCCATATGTTCCTCAAAGGAAGACTGGATACAGAAAATATGGTATATTTACACAACAGAATACTATTCGGCTATTAAAAATGAGGATATCATGAATTTTGCAGGCAATGGATGGAACTTTCTAGTATCAGGATGATATCTTCTAATATCATCCTGAATGGGGTAACTCAGACCCAAAAGAACATGCATGGCATATACTCACTAATAAGTGGATATTAACCAAAAACATACAGAATACCCAGGATACAATCCACATAACTCAAGAAGGTTAACAAGCAGAAGGGCCCAAGTGAGGATACTTCAATCCCATTTGAGAGGGAGAAGAAAGCAATCATGGGAGGCAGAGGGAGGAAAGGAACTGGGTGGGAGAGGGAAGGGGGAGGGGAAAATGATCAGGTATGGTGGGGGGAGACAGGAGAGAAGCCCCGAGGCACAGCAGAATGAATGGAAATATGCAACCTTGGCAGGGGGGAGGTAGGGGGACCGTCTAGAATGTACCAGAGACCTCGGAGGTGAGAGACTTTCAGCACTCAAAGGGAGGGACCTTAGATGAAATGCCCTACAGTGGGAAGAGGGAACTTGTAGAGGCCACCTCCAGTAGAAAGACAGGGCATCATTTGGAGGAATGGGGTTGCCATCCCACAGTCAAAAACTCTGACCTAGAATTGCATCTGTCTAAAAGAATTGCAGGGACAAAACTGGAGAAGAGACTGAGGGAAAGGAGGTCCAGTGACCGACCCAACTTGGGATCCATCTCAAGGGGAAGCTCCAAAGCCTAACACTACTACTGATGCTATGGTGTACTTACAGACAGGAGCCTAGCATGGCTGCCCTCTGAGAGGCCCAACAAGCAGCTGACTGAGAATGAGGAAGATACTTACACCCAATCATTAGACTGAAGTTGAGGAAGAGGAATGATGGAAGAAGCTGAGGAGGAGGGCGACCCCACAGGAAGACCAGCAGTCTCAATTAACCTGGTTCCCCGAGATCTCTCAGAGACTGAGCCACTAACCAGGTAACATACACGAGCTGGTCTGAGGCCCCCAACACATCTACAGTAGAGGACTGCCAGGTCTGGGTTCAGTGGGAGAAGATGGGCCTAATCATTGAGTGACTTGAGGCCCCAGGGAGTGGGGAGGTCTGGTGGGGTGGGGGACATCCTCTTGGAGATAGGAGAGGAGTAATGGTGGGATGAGTAACTGTCATAGGGTGGGCTGGGAGGGGGCAACGCCTGGACTGTGAAAAAATAAAAGTAATTTTTTAAAAAGGAAGAAAGCAAGTAGGGTTTAATCTTCCAGATCAGTATCAGCTCCATTTCTTCATGTTTTATGGCTCAAGTGTGTGAAGCATCCAGCAATAGGTCCTTATCTCCGAGTTCTAGATGGTAAAGAGCAACTGCTGAGAACCCCAGCCTGCAATGTCTGTAGGATGTAGCCCAGAATATTTACCACAAATTAAATATATAGTTGTCATATTTTAAATATATTTTACATATTAAAGAGAAATATGTATTTCTTTATCATATATGGGGTCTTCATATAAATAAAGATTTCGTTCTGCTCATTGCTCTATACCTATTTTTTTTAGTGCTTATATAGTAAGCACTGAATAAACATCTCATTAGTTAATATAGTAAGGTTTTCCTCTGTGCTAACTACCCTATCCATTGAACATCTTGATCTTCCTTACTTCAGAACTTACAAAGTAGTATGACATATTTAAATATTTTAATTGCAATAATAGTTGTGTAGTTAGACTATTAGAAACAAGATAGTTTAATAACTAAAATATGTGACAATGTATTATCAAAATATCTGTTATATTCTAAGATACTAAAGCTTTTACTGGACAGTCAGTCATCAATACACCTTGAGGTCACACAAAAATTAAAATTGCTCTCCCACTGTCTACTCAGACTGTTTGTTTAACCTACATTTAAGGGAACAAATGGAACAAACAATTTTACTTGCCTTGATTTGTCCTATAGTCAACTTTTACAACATAATACAATGCATAGCTGTAATCTTAAGATACATAGTCTAAGGTGCCCGACTCAGAGAGCAATGTAAGTGTTTTCATATGTGTCTTATGACCATAAAAGCTAAAAACAGAAAATACAGATTGAAAGCAACCTTACAAAATGAACATCTGCCATAAACATTGAAGATAACATGTAGCTAGTGTTTGATACATAATGATGTTTGTAATAACATTTGTGAACTGCATCTATTGGTGTCAGATGTCATCCCTTGAAAAACAAAAATTTATATAAAGTATCCATTCCCTCACCTACTCATGTAATTCTTTCTATGCTGTTCAATAAACAAGCATGCAAAGTCCTTTTTAGGGATACAAACACAGAGAGACGTATACAAAGACACAGTGACAGATTCACAAGGCAGCATTCAAATAGACCCAGATTTTGACTCATACACAACAAATAGACAAGAAATGATGGAAGGCACAGGGCAAGAGAAGTTGAGAATTTAAATCTGAACTTGCTTTTGGTTAAATTACTCCAAGAGGAAATGATATTTTAAACATTATATTTTTAACTGAAAAAGAATTACACCTCTTTCCCTTTTCCCATCCCCCCCAGCTATCTTTCATTGACCCACTCCTATACACCCAATTCCCTGTTCTTTGACTTATTGTTACATCCCTTTTCTTTTAATTATTGTTACCTGTGTGTATGTGTGCACATGTGCATACACACACACACACACACACACACACACACGAGTGTGCGCGTGCCCCACCCCCACATATAAAACACTTGCTGAGTCTGTTGCTTGTGTGTATATGGTTTCAGGATTAACAACACTGAATTTGACAAACAATAAAGGGACTAATCCTTACTCTCCTTTTCCCAGCAGTTATTAGTTGCCTGTAGTTTTTTTGTCTACTGGTGAAGCCTTGAGAAATGTCTTCCTTTCCTCATTAACATTCCACTAATATTGTCATTGTTTCAGTTTTATGTGACCATTTCTAGAAGAGACTGTTTAACAGCAGACCCTCTGGTATTCTGGCTCCTATAATCTTTCTGCCTCCTCTTCTGTGATGATGTTCCCTGAGTAATAGATACAGGAGCTTTGTGTAGATGTATCTGTTAGGACTGGCCTCCACACAATCTGCTGATCTCTTCATTGTGTCTAGCTGTGGTTTTCTATGATGGTCTTCATTTGCTGTAAAGAGAAGGTTCTTTGATGAAGTGTGGTAGCCACACTTATTTGTATATATAAGAATAAGATCTAACAAGTAGTGAGGAATTATGCTGCTTTAGCAATGTGGCAGAAGTAGATTCTTTCCTAAGGTCCATGACCTCACTAGCATCAGGAAGCTGTTCACTGCCACTGACATGTGAATGCTACTTCTTGCACTATTTTGCATAACTTGACAAATTCATAATTCTTGTGATTCACAGGTGTTGCTGCTGAGTAGGACTGTTTAACAGCTTTTCTCCCTTCACAGCTTGCATGGTATTTCCTAGAACCACGGAAGCTAGATCTCAGGAAAGTGGCTTTTGGGTCAGA